TTTTGTAAATAAATATTTTAGAGTTTAAAGGGTAGATATTTCATCAATTTTTTTCTAGGAAATTCCTTGGCATTCTTTCAAACTTTTAACCTGTTCTTTAAGGAAGTGCTTTAGACAGCAGTTTTTAATGCAAATAACACCTTGTATCCCAAGGCAAATTCATATTCTAGTTAATAAACAGCATCAATAAATTTGTAAAGACTTTAATGGCAACTATACAGAACTTTTCATACATGGAGGAATTTATTCTGCTTAATTGCTTTATATTAAGCAGTTTTCATTAGCCATCCTCTAATACATATGAACAGAAATAAATGGAGTCAGGAAAATTATCTCTTCTAACCCTTCCTATTAAAAAAAAAAAGTAATATTTTTGATGGGTTTTGTTACTAAAAACAAGGAATCAAATATAAGTAAAACTGATACAACTCCGTCTAATCAATGTGAGAATTTTTAGTAAGTTTATGCATTAAAGATCTATGGTCTGTCTGAAATTTCCATCAAAATACAAATTCAGAGTATCTTACACATTCGCCTTCAAGTTAAGAGACTAATTACATTAACTGATTTATTAATAAATGGGGCTTTTTGTCTAATTATTGTAAGTACTAACAGACTGGGGAACCATTTTAAATGTCTAATGTGCCTTGAAACCATTTTTTTAGGTTAATTACATTTCTCACTGAAGTCACTGTAGATATGCCCCTTAGGTTTTACACCAGAAGATTAAAGAAAAATGTAAAGATGATTACCTCATTGGCCAGCTCCAGTAATACAGGGGCAGCTGCATTTTTCATCACCCCATTCAGGTATCTAGACAAGACAAAGCCAGATAATTTTGCAGTGGCAAGAAAAGGCCAGTTTATACATGTCAGCATCCCCTGTGAATCTCTTTCATTTGGGGGAAAATACTCCAGTACTTAATGGGAAATCTTTTAAGAAATAAGTATTTTAAGACATCACTAACTGTCCAGGGTTGTTTCCTGTTCTATTCAGCTATAATATATATCAATCTCAATGAAGTCACTCATAAAAAACACAATAAATCAAGAAATTAAAAAAACTGTGGCTTAATGACATACAAATTAACTGTATCTGTACTACTTTAAGATGCATCACAGACAAATAAACCTCTACTATTCACAGTAAAGATTTTTGGTTTCGCGTGACCTTCAATTATGAAGGTGCACTGTATACCTTATTCAATTCACTGCTATGTACAAAAAAATATTTCTCAAATTTAATCCAGATTTTATCAATTGGGCAGTAGTTTAAATACTAAAGGCTTACTTGAGTGAAATCAGAGTCTAACAATTAGATTAATATTCCAAAAATAAAAAGAAACATTTAGGACCCAGAAAGGTTGATAGAAAGTCATTATCCTATCAGTGGCAAAGGTTTAATGTTTCTGGTTAAGGGTATTACAGAGTGATGTTTCTGACCATCACTTCACACAATATCGCCTTCCTCCCTTCTGTTACTTTCACTGCCTGATGTTTACATTTTGATAATGCCTAAAACGTGTGTTCAAGAGCTGATGGGAAGAAGCTATGATATGGGAAGCCACTTTGTGCTTTGTAGCCATGTGGAAAAGAACAACAGTTACCAATATTTGAACCCGCTCATTTATCCTATCTGTATTCGCATAGCACTTCAATACTGACATCATTAGAAGGCCACAGCCTTTCCAGCTCTATCATTATCTATCCATCAGAAGACACTCTTCTGCTCATTAGTTATAGACATTAAAATTCTTTCATTTTACCTTTCTGTGGAATGGGTGTAACACCTTTATAAAACCTCTTTGCATAAGATCAGACAGAGGACTTTTTGCTTGCAAGTTATTCTGAGGTTTAATGAATAACGGAAATGGAAAAAACTTTTTGCTGTAACCTATTTCAGTTCTACACTAAAAAAACCATAAAACAAGATGCCTTATGGATGTTTATACACTGAAAATTTATAACAGAAAAAGAAAAGGAGAGATCATAAACAAAATACCTAACCAGGAACATTCATTTGAGATTAATGTTCTAAAACATGCATCTAGATGATTGAACAGCAAAACTACAGTTGACGATGAAGTAATTTTCTGTCAGATATTTCTAATGCTGGCAACTCCATTATGGACTAACAGGTCTCACATCCTGATGGCAATACTGTTGTGAAAACTTTCTGATCTTTCTTGTAATTTGTCTTTGCCTAAATTTCAGAGTAGTAAGTCTCAGCAGGGCAGTAAAAAGTACTCTACTCAACTGTTTTACTTGCTTCTAACAGGGACCACTGGAAATGGCTACTTTCAAAAACTGGTAGATTCTGACCTAAGAAAGCAATGACAGCACAATTATCCGCTTGTATGTTGGCAGAAATAGCAGGGAGCATAGCACACAGACCGGGGTTTACAGCAGTAAAATGGATGCTACAGAAGAGTAGAGGACGTGTTTGTCATGTCTACATCTGAAGCATTTCAAAGTGGCTTCTCTCTCAAGTTGTCTGCCTCTGTAGCTTACTAAACACACTACACAGTAAATCTCCTAAAACAGGATTGAGATGAGTTTTCTAACTATTAACCAGAACATCTCTGATTTTAAAACATGTGCATTTTATTTGGCCATGTTAATGCACCTGCAATATGAAATACTCAGAAATAGTGTAAAGAATGATTTTCCCTACTACCACCACATAGCTTCATACATAATGCATTAGTTATGTACTGCTATCATACTTCAGACTACGGAAGAGGACAGGAGACCAAATCCTCCAACCTGATGTGAGACGAACTTAATCATACCTACAACCCTATTGACACCAACAAAACTGCTGCTTTGCATAAAGCAGAATTTGGTCCCATGTTTCAGGTTGAAGTTGCTGGAACTAGTGATTTACACATATGCTAAAGAAAAGGATTATTTACACAACAGTTAAAATTAACACAGACCACTTCACTGAAACTATGCTAGTGAAAAATAATTAAAAATAATATTGTATATACATGGTTATTAACACAACAAAATTTTAAGCCAATAGTCTTCCTAAACAAGAATCAAACCTAGGAAAAGTGTGATGTGATCCAGTGCAAATTTTTACAGAACAGTGCAACTACTAAAAAAAGAAAACCAAATGCCCCAAAAACCAGCACACTTCACACTAGATATTCTAAACCACTGTCTGATATAATCAGGCTGTGGTTGGATTTCAAATATGTGACTCTGGCAGAAGCACAGTTATTTGTTTACAAATGAAGGCTTTTTGTTTATTTCCTGATTCACACAGATTAATACTAAGAATGAATATCAGACATCTATAATCACAAGTATGAATTCACTTGCCATGCATGCTCCTCAGATATGTCAGTCTACAAAGTAATATTTTAATTGCATATCTTTACCTGTTATGAGTATGTCCCAATTATGTCATTGCAATATTTTTAGTAAAGCCTACAGAACTAACAAACTATAAGGTGTAGCAAACACAATTTATTAGCTTAAGATGCAAATAATTGTAAAATATTGTAAAATGACATAAAGGTTTTCATCCTCCCTTAAAAACTATTTCTGACACTTCTGTTGATAAAACAGGAGTGATTTAAAAATTAGTGCTTTAAATGACAATACATGAATATGTAACTTTTTGTAATGTAACAAAAACATTGTTCTAAAAGTACAAGCAACAGTAACAAAACAAGCTCTCTAGCTGTAAGGAAGCTGTCATCAATATTAGTCTTGACACAGAAATCCTACAATTACAAATTATAGGCAATACATAATAAATGCTATCACATACTCTGTAAAAAATATTTGCTTATCCCGACTTAGAGCCAGGAAAGTAAATTCCTTCTTAATCAAAATGACCAAATACTGAAAAATTTCTGCACTTTCAGTGAAAAACATTTTCCGGTGAACCATTCTGTATTCCTCATCCCAAATTCTTAATTTATTTCTATAGAAAATTAGCTTCATAAGGTAATTTACTCATAACTGCCATAACAAATAGTAGCTATGATGACAGTCTTAACTGGGGTGAGGAGGTCATACCTTTGGTAGTAAGTTTCAATAGCTTCAGCAGTGTGGTGCTTGGCATGTGTTCTTTTGATTTGTTTCTAGAAAAACAAAAAACCAAAGAGTTTTACAAACATATCATAGTTCAAAACACAGAAATCATGACTGCGCAAACACACAATCCTTGGCTACACTTTGATATATGTGAACCCTGGTTTTAGATTCTGTACAGAAATGACATTCAATCTACCTATTGAATTGAACGTCTTCAGACTGTACTGCAATGTACCATATGTAAAAGCCAATAAGGTCACAATAATTGAATCTAAATAAGTTTACTGAAGGCTGCAGAGGGCAAAAAAACCCTTGTTGTCTCTCTCAACCTTTGTTGTAATTTTCCCCAATTCAATTCCATCTAAGTCTGGTGTACTCTAGTTCTACAATTCAATTGGCATTTTTAACCAGGAAAAACATTGCTTAAAAACAACTTATTTAAAAAAACTACAAAAAGTAATTCCATAGAGACTTGCCACTTGACTGACACCTGTCATCTCATGATAAATGACTCCATTTTCTGCCTCTCTTGCCTTCTGCCACTCCGGCAATGGTCATTTATCATCATCTCTGTCAGCAATGGAAAGCAGCACTGACAGTGCAAGTCAGCAAACATTTAGCACATGGAACCACGCAACACAGGGAAATTATTATTGTCAGAATAATAATGGTTTAGCATAATTTATTACAGGTCCACCAAATAAGCAAAGGCTAGATGTTATTAGACAGATGGATGGGTAGGCTTGGCAGCCATCCACTGAGACTCAGGCGGTGCTTGATGTGGAAAAAGGAACATCCTCCAAACCAATCAGAAAGCTGGCAGTTCAATTACAAAGAAATAAAGGGACATTCATCATTCAATTAGGCACCTGTCAACCCTCACAAAGGAGAAAACTTCTAACCTGGTACTCCTGGGAGAAGATGCTCAGCAGAGTGGACTGCGATTGACTGGAACAAATAAAAGAAGGACAAAGTTAATTACTGGAGTGCACTGCAAAGAAACAAAAGAGAAGGGAGCTTCAAAGGTAGGCCTGCTGCCCTGTAATCTAACAGAACATGAAAACAAGTGTGGAAAAGTTGTTCCAGATGAACACCTCAGACAAAGGCTTCCTGCTGCTAGGTCAAGGAGAGAGTGTATGAGGGATGGAAGGAAAATATAGCGAGAGTTTCAAAGCAAACTAACATATTGTCTGGGTGATTCCTTTTGCAGGTTCAGAACCCAAAAGTCCTATCAGAAGAAGGTAGTGGAGCTAAAAGGCAACAGGAAAAAAAGGAAATTAAAGGAAAATTTCCATTAATAATTGATGGGAGTTAAATTCCATCAGCAGTTGGGAATGTGCCGCTTATTCATTGGCAACATATTGAAATTCATTTTGTTAGCAGCAAGGGAACCTCTTCAGTAGCTTTCTCATATTCAGGTTAAAAACTTCCCCTCTATCAGAAGTAGCATATGGGACCAGTGGAACATTCCCACTGAAACTGATGTGCTTTGAAAATAGAAACTTTCACAGCAGGAAGCTGAGATTCCCCTGAGTCGGTCATTTCCAAAAGCTGCCATAAGCTTCATTCATCTAAGGCTCCACTCAATGTCAAACACCTGGCAATGAAGCAACCTGGAAAGCATTCTTCCCAAGTGGGAATTTTTCTCTCTGAATTGTTAACATTTAGAAACGAGACAAGATTTTTTTTCCCTCTGAAAGGCAATCAATACCACACCACTACTGTTTTCAATTGTCCTCTGTGGATATATCTACCTCATCACATCCTGAATACAATTAATTACTCCTGATATATTTTCCTACTACATGCAACTTGAACAAATTATAGTCTCAATAAATCGAGTTTTATGGTACAGCAAAGCATTATGAATAATTAACATTTTTTCCTTTCAGGAACCTACATACTAAGGCGTAGTATAGGTAGTTCAAAGACTCTGCAATGTTTAAATCTTCTTTCAGTTTTCTTGTATGTACCTGTAATACCTGTACCATATCGTATTTTCATTAAACATACATGTTCTCCCCATACTTAAATGACCCTTCTTCCAATTTCCATACTTCAGAAATTCTAATTTAAGATAGGGAAGTCTTACTCCCACTTCCAAAAGGGAATAGAGGCACAAATGGTTTGTTCAGGTTTAAACAGACAGTATGTGTATGCAGGACGATATAAAGTTACCTCTAAACCAAACAGCTGAAGAATCAGGAACAAAGTGTAGATTAATGCAGAGCTATATAAAGACCTTACTAGTTTGTCTTATCCATAGCTGAGCTTCCAACATCTTTGCCATAACTCTGTATTTGGAGCTTGTCTGCCCAGTGCAGCATCTGCGTGACAGCAGTAAGCTAAGCCTTGATCTTTGGTATTTTACACATGGGAATGTTCACCCTGAGTACTCAACGAGACTGAACGTTACAGCTGTAAAAAAATTATAGCAACAGAAACTGACTAATACACAGATTTATTAAATTAATGAATTACAGACAAAAGTAATTACAATATAATAAAGAATTTAAATATTTTATCAAAATAAGTATTATTTAAATACATATTTACTTAAATATACATAATGTAACGCATAGGTCAGGAGCTACGTACCACAATGCCTCCCCAAATGGTGTAGCATCCAATTATGACAATCTTCAACATGCACATACAATCATTAGAAGTTGAACAAAGGAAATTAATTAAGACTATATACTTACACAGGCTATACACATACAGAAAGCTAAGATATTTCAAGTTGATTTAAAAAAACCCCAACCCTGCAGGCTATAAATAAGTTGGAATCATATGGCCCCCTAATGGCTCTTATCTTGCAGATTTTACATGGTCATAGTGGTAGAACTGAATTTAGAGAAAGATGTGGAAAAAACCAAAACAGGACAGCATTTGACCAGATTTCTGGTCAAAAAACTCTCACTGATATAATTTTTGTGGTTTTAGACTATTCCTTGTATGATAACTGCTTTTATTGTACCATTATTCTGTTAAACCCACTGACATATCAAAAAGAATTAAGACCATTATCACTTCCTTTACACTCATGACTTAGTGGTGGACTTGGCAGTGCTAGGTTAATGGTTGGACTTGATGATCTTTAAGGTATTTTCAAAACTATATGTTTCTATGATTCTTGTCCATTTTATTTCACCCCTTGGGATACTTGGATTTTGACCCTCTACTTCCACTTAGTTCAACACTCTTCTCTGATGCTTCCAACTGTTCAGATAATTTAGGACTCAGCACGAATACTAAGAAAATCATTCCAATAACATTGCAAGTTGGCTATATACTGGACTGCAGCACAGAAACTTTACCACTGTGGCAAAGAGAATTATTTCAGTAATACTATTCAAAAAATTTCAAGCCTTACTACCAAATGATCTTTCTCCTTCCCCAGGAGAAGTGGAATTATATCTTCACATGGTTGCTTCCATATTTCTTCTGGTTAACATAGTTCCTATCTTAAACACTAAAACCACTTATCTGACAGTGTTTTCTTGCTACAATTCCATTGACACAACTTCTGGGCAAAATTAAATAGCTCCTCCAGACAGCTGGAGCATCTATTGCAAGGTGCCATTGAGTGAACACTGAAACATCATGGTTTCAGAAAGGACTGAAAAAGGCAGTATTATGTGCTTGGAGAGTGGACAGAAATCATGAACATGCATTTGTATAGCAAGACAGCATGATCACAACTGCTAATACAGACAGCAGGGATACTACCATGGAAGCTATCATGACTCTTCTACAATAGCAGCCAGGCTCCATCCATCCTCTGATCCTTCTATACAGGATTTCAAAGCAACAAATGAACAGACAAGTGAATATAGCCAAGCTATCCAGGAAAACAAACCTAACACTGAAAATACTTCTTATTCAAAATAACATTTGAGTGCCTTCCATGGAATAAACTTTATAGTAAGCCTCATGGCTTACTTCAAGGCTAGGGATACAGACATGTTTGTGTCAAGCAAGCTCTTTTGTCGAGAAACAACTGTTAGAGCCAAGGTACAGATTTGCTGATTTTCTGATACAAACAAACAAAAACCCCCAAAATCATAATTCTGAGTACTATCTAGTTAAAATAATTAATAAATTAACTTGTTACCACTCTTGTAGAAGCAAATTTCTTTTCTGGAAAATACGCAAACTTTCCCCTTGAATTCTGTACTGATCACTTTGTGGAAACATTTTCTTCCTCAATTCTAGATGGTAATGAATCTCACTCCCAGAGCTCTGTTCAAAGCAACGAGCCTCACTCTTCAGATATCCTCTTTTTCATGTACACTGGCATCCATAATGAATCAATTTACCTTTTGTTATTCTGTGTTGATGTCAGTGGCATACTTCCATCTGAATGCCTGATGTACTTTGTAGTCTTGTCAATACATAACTGGATTTGGGCAGAAAACTGTGAAATCTAAAATCTGCCTCAAAATGCCTATGTTTTTAGAGATAAATAACTTTTATTTAAAAAAAATGAAGTGTAATTTCTAGGTCCCAAGTGACATAAAGATAAAAAAATTTACTTGTAATAAAAAAGGGGAAAAGTATTACAGATCTCAAAGAGATCTGTAATATACAAACCCCACATTTAAAATGGGATGCCCAAGTCAAAATCAGTCCAGAACAAGTGATAAGAGAAATTATCTCTAAGAATTTAGAGATCAATCAAGCTAAAAAGACAACTGCAAGTCTGGTGCTGAAAAAAGAATATGCTTTCTGATCATTTAATATTTAAGAATAAAATTTAGACCATTCTCTTCTAATGAATCCCAGAATTTGGTAGAGGAGGAATGCTATAATCCCTGGAGAGTTCTTCAGAAATGTTCTGTTTTGCAATGAGTGTTCATATATAAAGTAGTAACAGATAAGTTAGTAGTTTATATAAGCAGATTGGTGCTTCATAACTAGAGTTGATATAAAACTGGCTAAGATCCAGCTAGTAATGATGAAAACAATTTTATTGGATCAGATCATCATCTCAACAAAGCAGGGCTGCAGATCTAGCCAAGATTTGGAGAGCTGTCCAACTTAATATTTGCTACTTCAGCCTCACCAGGAGAAAATCCAAACATAACAAATTCTGCAAATATTATATTATCAGCCCTTGCAAATAATTAATTCTTTAGGGATAAGATAAAATTTACAGTTTTTTTACTTTATTTTCTGAGATTACTGAACATATGAAGTTTTAGGTGCAAAACCAAGTTTCCACTCATTTCATCTATTTTTTTTTTAATGAGTTTCCTTTCCCTCATCTTTAACTCCACACTTGTTGCCTAAAATAGAAAGAGTAAAAACACGGCTTTATATTTAATGTATTTTACCACGACACAAAGGAAGAGTATCTAGAGAGATTTGCAAAAAGAATAAATTAAGAGTAAATATAAACTGTAGTATTTAATCCAGAAGTATTCACAAAAGTGTAGACAAGCAGGGGCAGAGCAAAGTCCATTATGAGACAAATATGTTAAATAGAATAGCTTCATTGCTTTCTTTTCACAAAATGGAACATTTCACCAAATGATAAATATATGGGTTAAGAAACTGAGTGTAGGGGCATGAGCTGTGTTTCCAAAATTCAGAAGCTCTTACATGTAAAATCCCAAAGCAGCAGTGTCAAACCTCCTCTGGAAAGTAGAAATTCATGTAGTGGGAGAAGTTGTCTCTTTTCTTTCAATCTCCAGAGCGAGTATGTAGTGCTAGTCATATCCTTTATGATACGTTGTGAAGTAGACAGCAAGAGTCTCTCATTTTTATTGATTGGAAAAGAACTTCCCCCTATTTAAAAATACTTTCACTAATGCAATACTGAGCTTTAAAATAAAAGTAATAGGGCTAGAACTGTGTGGTGCTGCCATGCTGGATTAAGAATCTAAGTGAGGAAAGAAAGATATATGTCCAACAAATTTAAATGGCTGGTGGTGAAAGAGGAA